GGAGAAAAAACAGGAGAGAGAGAGGGGGGGGGGGGGGGGGGGGGGGGGGGGGGGAGGAGGAGGGGGGGAGAAAAAACAGGAGAGAGAGGGGGGGGGGGGGGGGGGGGGGGGGGGGGGGGGAGAGAAAATAGGAAACCATCAGAAGCTGCAGAGGCTATCCAACATGCTTTCCCCCCCCTCTCAAACAGGTAAGAGTTGCACTAGGCCCCCCAACTGTTGTCCTTCGTATCCCTCATTGTGGATCAAGCTGACTGGAATTGAAGAGAGTTACAGGTGAGCAAGAGGTGAAAGGTTTCAGGAATCTTGCTTAACTGTAGCCTGGAAAATGCAAGATTCAGCACTGAAAATAGAACAATTTTTTTCTTGCATCTGAGCTTTGTTCTTTTTTAAATTTCCCCTCTGGGTTCTTTACTTGCACTTTTAATGAAAAGATGAATTAGGGAGACAAGTAGAAACATTTGAAATGAAAGGGAAGAGAAGAACGGGACACAAAATCAGCCACGGCAAATACAGGTAGTCCTCAACTCACAACCACAACTAAGCCTGGAATTTTGGTCATGATGGGTCACTGCAATCATAAGTCCATGTGGCCAGACTCGGTTTTATGACCCATTATTATGACAGTTTTTAAGCGGGTCACCATGGTTGCAATTCCAAATCCAGCTTAACTAATGGACTTTTTTTTTTCTCCTGGAAAATGGCAAGAAAGAAACAAAGCATGTTCAGGTGACCAAGGGACACTGCAACCAGTCACAAAAGGAGGCTGGTTGCCAATAATTGTGGGGATGATGCGATGGAGAAATGGGCAATGGAGCAGCCAGCAGAAAGGAAGGAGGAAAGAAAGCGCTCCGTTGCCCATTTCTCCATTGCAATGCAGAGAATCCACTGTGATAGTGGAGTTGTGTGTGTGTGTGATGGGGGGGGGGGATGTTTAACAACCCGTTCGCCTGAACCAGTGTGAACCACCTGAATACCACCATCCCCATCCCCCAGTCCGCAGAGCCTGAAAGGTTGGGGGACCGCAATTAATTTGGTGCACCGAATTCATTTCATGGGGTAACGAAGGGCCTCTCTGCTTCCAATAGCCCCCGTCCGATAGATCCCGTATCACCCAATATGACTTTGGAAAAGACTTCCTTATTTTAGCTTCTGAGTACTCACTTGGGAAGGGAGGTGTTGCGGGTCCAGTGCTTTGCATCCAGAGCATCAAACCAACTGAAATACTTTCCCATCAGCTGGAAAGACAAGACAAAGAGCTCTTCAGAAGGCTACGTAGACAGGGAGCAGTTCCCATGCAGCAGAACAAACCAAGAACTCTATTCCAAACTTAGGACAAAAACGTGCAAACCCAGGATACTGACTTCCAAACCTGAAATGCAGTCCAGACAGTTGTTCTAATCTGGAATTTTGCCTAACCCTGACAGAGGTTATACAAAACTATAGGAGAGAAGGTAGGTGACGCTAAGAAGGAACAGATGCTCTATGGCAGGGGTCAGCAAACTGCGGCTCTGCAGCCGCATGTGGCTCTTTCATCCCTCTGCTGCGGCTCCCTGTTGCTGGTTGGCTCCACAATTGATAGGG